AACGCACTTCATCATTTTACATATTATGTGCAGCTGTCGAAAAAAGTTCAATTTTTCAAACAAACCAAACAAATTTCTGCGGCTAAAACCAACGTTTAAAGATTATAATATCTAAACTATTTTGGTTATTTTGCGGTTTTATTGTTATTTGAGGTGATGTAGAATTCAGACTGTTGGGATTGAAAATTAAAACCAAATTCAAGGACACTAAAAAATGGGAAGTTGTTTTAAACTGTTTTAAAAATACTCCAAATGTGTTTTCTTTAATTTCATATTTATTAAGTGTTTCTGCTAGTTCAGCATTTTCTGAGCGAATTTTTTCTGTGCTTTTTATGAAAGTTGTCAAGAATTGTACGACTTCATAAAAAAACAAGGCTTCTTTGGAGGCTGCAAAATCAAACATAAAATACTATTTTTCTATAATCATTATCCAAAGTAGGCTTTTGGGCTTCGAAATAAAACCGCAAAGTTGACGATTTCCGCGAACTGACATTTATTAACTTCTTTGTCGCTCGCCGAGCAGAAAACTTGACAGCTTTGTTGCTCGCCTAATTTAAATTAGATTTAATATAATACTATATCTTTTAAAAAAATGATTTTCAAGTTATCTGTACGTAGTTTGATGTATTTTTGTTTTATTATCCAAGTTATCTATTATTTGAATATCAACTCCGTTTTTCATGATTAACGTAGATATAGGCAACACATCATACACTACATATGACAAATTTTCAGTTTTTATATCTATCTCTTAAAATAATGTGATCGTAGACAAAATCTTGTGTGCATTTTGAGCGAATAGTTGGTTGCCGCTTTCGACAGTTTCTGTTTCTGTTTCAACCTGCAAATTCAGTAATCCCTAGGCCCTAGAGGTATGGTTCCGTTTGTGCGCCTGTTGCATACAGAGGATGCACAAGCGGAACCATTCCTCAAAATATTTTTTTAGTTTTTAATCTTTTTTAGTTATGTTTATGTTGTTTTTTTATTCAATTATGATGAAAATACCTAATTTAGATGTTATTGTTCAACAAGAAAAATGCCTGCGATGCATTTTAGATGGTTTACCGTGATACCCTACGCGACCGCCCTACTTGCATTCATAAAGCCAGTCTGTCTAAGGTTTCTTGAAAATGTCCTTTATTCACTTTTCAAAAAGGTGGCAACTCTAGCCAAGTCGCCTATTTTAATTCGTTGTAAACTGCAGCCATGTTTAGCTATATCATTAACGGAGAGCTCAGTGTGTGAAAGAATCTCTTTCGTAGTCCAGTTAGCTGTTCACGTTTGGCATTCAGCTTCAAAATTGTTGATTCCAAATTTGTCCACTATTTTCATTTCTGATCGGAAGTAAAAAAAGTATTATTTTTTATGTTTTTGGGATGTAACAGGCTTAAAGAACCTATAGTACCTACCTAACAAAATATCAGTAATTCATATATTACACGTTAAGTCGTAAAAGCCAGAGAGGGGCAACTGCCCCCCCTTGCCCCCTCCAAACGACGCCCATGGCTTTTCTGTTTTCTTTTTATTTTTAACCCCTACCTTGTTTCCGTTACTCTTTTCAGATATCTGTCTTTTCTAGTTTTAATATTATTGAATCATATCTTATTGTCGGTACAGCAACTGCATTACAATACTTTTTTATTTCAATTTTTCTTCAATACCCATTCTCTTTACTGGGTGATTGGGCAATTATGTTTCACTGATTTGAACTCTTCTGTTTAATATCATCGCCTTTTTCTTTACTCTTAATTATTTTTATTCTATATGAACAATTTCTGTGATAAGATGGCAAATCCAGATACTAATATTGAAAAATATAAAAATATGTAAGCAATATAATATGCGATTGTTCCACTTTCACATACTGAAATAGTATATTACATTACGAGTGTGGAAAGTGACATTTGTCACACGAGTGGGAAATATTGTCGCACGAGGCACAAGCCGAGTGCGACTATCACACGAGTGTGGAAAATCACTTTTCACACAAGTGATGTACAATATTTTTCCTACGACCACAAAATAATTTCATCAAAAAATGTAAAACCAGGTTATTATTATAATAATTAAAATGTATTTAAAAAAATAATCAACAATAATCGTATTTATTCAATTTTCATATCTTCTAAACAAAAAAAATTAAATAACAAAAAAATTCTGGCCCCGCCAGGATTTAAACGCGGTCGCTCGCCAGGTCTCAAATGGCAAAGTTGATAAGTTTGACGCTCTAACCATCTGAGCTAATAAGCCTTGCGTCAATTAAATGATCTAATCGGTTATGTGTTTAACCAGAATAAAAAGCAAACATATCTTAGTTATTTTAAAATTATTTTAATAATAATTGTTAAAGATAAATATTTAGGATCTAATTTACAACAATTTCAATAATTTAACAATCATATCGATTTTAGTATTAATATGGACATTACATAGATCAAAATAGAAATGATGTGTTTGACTGTTTGTGACAGCTGCTGCGGAAAGTAGCATATTCGTACACGGGTGGAAAGTAAATTCTTATTCATACGCGTGTGATATAGGGCACTTTCCATAGGACTATATAGTGTGATATATTTTACTTTCCTAAGTGGTCGTAGGAAAATATAAACATAAACGAGGGGCTGACCAAACTTTTACATTTTTAAAGCAAAACAAACAAAAAAAGATAGTTATACATATTTGAATGTTTTTTCATTGTCAAAGAATTTTAAAAGACTTCATTTATTTATTATTTTGTATAAAGGGTGTGACAAAATGCGGGGTAACGATTCACTCAATTTTTTAAATGGAATATCCTATATGTTATATCACCAATTAGTTAATACATGGTATTTCATTTAAAAAATTGAGAAAATCATATCCCCACGTTTTAGCAAACCCTATATACAACATAGCAAATGAATTTATGGACCAACCTGTATATTTAAGAATAACTGTTAAATATAATCATACAACTTTAATTTTAAACATTTTTTCGTATTTGTATTTGTAACAAAACAGCTATCGATCAATTAAGCACTGATGTGTTATTGACTAACATATTGGTATCGTTTTATAGGCAAACTTATAAGGAATTTTATACTAAAACAATATACAGGGAGTTGCATTTGAAAAATTTGAGTAAATTGAACCTAAAATTAGTCAAGACACTCTGTATAAAATAAACCAATTCCGTCACCACTATTCATTAGCTTAGTACATTAAGTCTGTATATTAATCAATTTTAAAATCAATCTAACTCTACCCAAATTATGATAATTTAATTTGGGGTCTGCATCATTCTCTATTTTAAATATATTTCAGACTTGAATACCAAACCATTCTAAAAATAAAATACTATGTGTTCTATTTAAAAAATATACATTTTTATTTACCAGGCAAAAACACAACACCCTGTACATCCAAAAATATTTTTGAAACATGTATTTTTCAAATCCATATAACTTTTATTTGAACCTTTTTTGCGTGTCTATAACACAAATTGAAATATTGAACAATTACGCACTAATGGTTTTGCCATCTAACCACAAATTTGTCAGTTAGTCTGCATGGAGTACCAGATATAAAAGTCTGGAGCGATTTTGTCTTTTGTGATTTTATTTAACCTATTCATGATACTTGCGAATACCTATTAACAAGCTAAGGCTTCTCCTTGTTTCATATTATTGTCATTTATTTATTTCTTTGCCCTAAATTCTGCTTACCCATCCTGTATCTTTTTCCTTTGCTCCTATCCTTTTTATATTTTCATGTTTTTTATTATCACATTTCCTGTCTTCATATTTGTTATTTCGTCTAAAGTTTCTGTTCCATAAGATTGTCTCCAATCTCTATATATCTTCCTCTTTTTGTTGAGAGTTTCACTTCATATTGTTCCAGATGTTTTTTTTCTGCTTTTCTTCCTCTTATATTTCTTAGTCTGTACCAGGACTTTCAATTATCTGAATAGCCAATTTTGCACCAAAATCTTCCTACATTTTCTTCTTTAATTTTTTAATTGCTTTCATTTCTCTTATTTTTTGGTTTGGTATTTGTGTATTTCCACAGATTTATTCTGTTTATTGGTTGAGTCCCTCCAACTTATGAGCGAATTTTGATTTTACTTTTTGGCAATTAATTGTAAAAGGCTGTTTTGGTTATACTGTTAATTACCTTATGTTAAGAGTTAAGTTGAGTTGAGTATTTAATAAGTCACTATAAAATTTATGTATATTTTTATTTTTTAATATTTTGGGTTTAAAATCTAAACTTTTCTTCCGATGTGACTCTATTCATTAAAAATATTAATCAAACGTCAATTCTGATCCTGTCAAAACAATCTTAGAAATTGAATAATATACTATTTTCCCACCAGTTAATGTCCAACTATAAAAGCAAAAAATAGAAATTTAAGTGTTTGTTGATCTAGAATCAGAATTCAAGCATTAGAACAGAAATCCAAAAAAAAAATATTTTTTTTGTCGACTTGTGTTATTCTTCACAAAAAAATATTGATGGTAGAAAGTTCAAAAACTATTTTTTTTTTGTATTTCTTATACCGTTCTGGTAAGATCAAGCCTTCAATTCTGCTTTGCTTAAGTTGAAATGAATAGCAAATGGCGCTTGCACACAAAGGAAAAGAAACGATACAGTATCAACGTTGCCAGTTATATGTGACACACGTAACTCGAACTGTTTCTAGCAATATTGATACTGTGACGTCTCTATTTCTGCACGTGCGAGAGTAATTTATTATTTGATGCAACCCAAGCAAAGTAAGACCGAGAGTTTGATCTTTGCAGCACTGTATTCATTAGACTAAAAGTTATAACTAGGTATGTTCCAACACTCGCGAAAACCTTAACAATGGGTACAAATCATGCAGTTTGTCTAAAAAGCGTACAGCGCATCATTTGTAGCATATTATTATGGCTTTTGAATGTGTTGGAAAATACCTTATTTGTGATATAAGCTATTATTAATTATTGGTTATTTATTTTTAACATATTTATTTGTTACAGGCGCCACTCGTGTCCGCATAATCCAGATAATTATAATGATCATCTGCATCCAGAAGGTCCATTTTTTGGAAAACCAAAAGATGACTATAATGCAGTCCGAGGGGAACGCTATCCTATTATAAAACCTCAAGATCATCTTAAACCTGAAGGGGAATTTGAAAGACCAGAAAAACATGCATGGAGTCCTGCAGAGAGACCAAAACAAAAAAGACCTGAAGACAATTTAAAACCAGAAGGTGATTTTGAAAAAAGAACTCCAGAAAAGTGGAGACCGGGTGATAGGCCCGATGCGATAAAACCACATGACAATCTTAGACCAGAAGGAGATTTCGAAAGACCAGAAAAACCCGGATGGAGTCCAGCTGAAAGACCAAAACAAAAAAGACCCGAAGATAATTTGAAACCAGAAGGAGATTTTGAAAGAAGAACTCCGGAAAAATGGAGTCCTGGTGATAGACCTGACGCACGAAGACCACTAGATAATCTTAGACCAGAAGGAGATTTTGAAAGACCAGAAAAACCCGAATGGAGTCCTGCAGAGAGACCAAAACAAAAAAAACCCGAAGACAATTTAAAACCAGAAGGAGATTTCGAAAAAAGAACTCCAGAAAAGTGGAGACCAGGTGATAGGCCCGATGCGATAAAACCACATGACAATCTTAGACCAGAAGGAGATTTTGAAAGACCAGAAAAACCCGAATGGAGTCCTGCTGAAAGACCAAAACAAAAAAGACCCGAAGATAATTTGAAACCAGAAGGAGATTTTGAAAGAAGAACTCCGGAAAAATGGAGTCCTGGTGATAGACCTGACGCACGAAGACCACTAGATAATCTTAGACCAGAAGGAGATTTTGAAAGACCAGAAAAACCCGAATGGAGTCCTGCTGAAAGACCAAAACAAAAAAGACCCGAAGATAATTTAAAACCAGAAGGAGATTTCGAAAAAAGAACTCCGGAAAAATGGAGGCCTGGTGATAGACCCGATGCAAGAAGACCACAAGACAATCTTAGACCAGAAGGAGATTTCGAAAGACCAGAAAAACCCGGATGGAGTCCTGCAGAAAGACCAAAACAAAAAAGACCCGAAGACAATCTGAAACCAGAAGGAGATTTTGAGAGACCAGAAAAACCCGGATGGAGTCCTGCAGAAAGACCAAAACAAAAAAGACCCGAAGACAATCTGAAGCCAGAAGGAGATTTTGAGAGACCCGAAAAACCAGGATGGAGTCCTGCTGAAAGACCAAAACAAACAAAACCTGAAGACAATTTAAAACCAGAAGGAGATTTTGAAAGACGAACTCCAGAAAAATGGAGGCCCAGTGATAGAGCCGATGTGATAAAACCACATGACAATCTTAGACCAGAAGGAGATTTCGAAAGGCCAGAAAAACCTGAATGGAGTCCTGCAGAGAGGCGAGATGTAAAAAAACCGCTAGATAATCTTAGACCTGAAGGTAATTTCGAAAGACCAGATAAACCTAAATGGAGCCCTGCTGAAATACCACAACAAAAGAAACCAGTAGATAATTTAAAACCCGAAGGAAACTTTACTGGAACAACTACAATTAGTGAAGATTATAAAGTTGTTAGAGGAGAGAGAACAGAAGTAATTCGCAGAGAAGATAATCTTAAATTATATGGAGAATTTGCAGGTACTTTTTTAACTTATTTAAAAAATTATTCTCTTTTACAATTAAAAATATTCAATAAATATATTTATTGAAATATTCATTAAAAGACCACTGCTTTTACTAAATTAGAATTAATTAAAAATAAAACAGTAAAGACATTAAAAATAATCCAAAAAAATATTCATAAAAAAATTTATAAAAATGATTCATCAAAAAAAAGTCATAAAAATATTAAAAAAAATATTCTTACAAATATTCATTAAAATATTCAGACAAATATTCATAACTAGTATTCATAAAAATACTAAAAAAATATTCATAAAAATCAAAACAAAAAATAATTTAAAAAAATATATAAAAAAATTAAATATACAAAAATATTCATTAAAATGAATATTAAAATAATTATTAAAATAAATATTTATTAGAATATTTATTAAAATATTTATTAAAATATTTATTAAAATATTTATTAAAATATTTATTAAAATATTTATTAAAATATTTATTAAAATATTTATTAAAATATTAATTAAAATATTTATTAAAATATTAATTAAAATATTTATTAAAATATTTATTAAAATATTTATTAAAATATTTATTAAAATATTTATTAAAATATTTATTAAAATATTAATTAAAATATTTATTAAAATAATAATTAAAATATTTATTAAAATATTTATTAAAATATTTATTAAAATATTTATTAAAATATTTATTAAAATATTTATTAAAATATTTATTAAAATATTTATTAAAATATTTATTAAAATATTTATTAAAATATTTATTAAAATATTTATTAAAATATTTATTAAAATATTTATTAAAATATTTATTAAAATATTTATTAAAATATTTATTAAAATATTTATTAAAATATTTATTAAAATATTTATTAAAATATTTATTAAAATATTTATTAAAATATTTATTAAAATATTTATTAAAATATTTATTAAAATATTTATTAAAATATTTATTAAAATATTTATTAAAATATTTATTAAAATATTTATTAAAATATTTATTAAAATATTTATTAAAATATTTATTAAAATATTTATTAAAATATTTATTAAAATATTTAATAAAATATTTATTAAAATATTTATTAAAATATTTATTAAAATATTTATTAAAATATTTATTAAAATATTTATTAAAATATTTATTAAAATATTTATTAAAATATTTATTAAAATATTTATTAAAATATTTATTAAAATATTTATTAAAATATTTATTAAAATATTTATTAAAATATTTATTAAAATATTTATTAAAATATTTATTAAAATATTTATTAAAATATTTATTAAAATATTTATTAAAATATTTATTAAAATATTTATTAAAATATTTATTAAAATATTTATTAAAATATTTATTAAAATATATATTAAAATATTTATTAAAATATTTATTAAAATATTTATTAAAATATTTATTAAAAAATTTATTAAAATATTTATTAAAATATTTATTAAAATATTTATTAAAATATTTATTAAAATATTTATTAAAATATTTATTAAAATATTTATTAAAATATTTATTAAAATATTTATTAAAATATTTATTAAAATATTCAAACAAAAATTCAAATAAAAAATTACGTAAAAATATTCATAAAAACAATATATAAAAAAATATTAAACTAAAAATTCATTAAATATATTAAAAAAATTCATTAAAATAATTGTTGAAATTTTCATTAAATATTAATTAAATATTCAATAAAATTAAAATATTCATTAAAATATTCATTCAAATATTCCTTAAAATATTAATTCAAAAATATTCATAAAACATATTCATAAAAAAAATGTTTTTAAAAATAATAATTCAAAAATTCATTTGCTTTTACTGAAAATTAATTGCCATAAAAAATAAAAAATAATAAATTATCTAAAAATATGTGTTTCTTCATTATCATAACCGGATTGAAAATAAAATAAAAGAAGAATTAAAAAAACAAAAAGTAATTTAAATCAAATATAAGACCTAAAATTTTTGAAAAAATCCATAAAAGACTATATTTCAGTAATAAATAAAATAAATACAACTAAAAGCCAATACCACATAAAAATCAACGAACGTTTCCCTTCAGAAAACAACTTTTTCTTTGGCTAATACCGCAACAGGTATTGAATTATATCCTAAAGAAAAAAAGCAGAGATAGAAATTAAATTTCAACACTCTACCTTTGATTTTCATTTTTCATTTTTCATTCTTGGACCGGTTTCGTCCTTATTAGGACTCTTCAGCAAGAAATAGATAGGTTCTCAATACCAGTCTCTAATGGAATTAACAAATGCTACACACTTCACCAGTATACAATAAAGTTAGTTACGAAGACAATAAGAATGCAAGTAATGAAATGGTGTCGCCATCTATTTCTAGTAAGCAAAATCAAAGGGCGCTGTAGTACCCAGTTAGAAAACTAGGTGGAACCATAAAACCAGGCTGACAATTTGTAGAAACGAAAATAAATCAAACTCAAATGTGATCAAGACGTAAAATAAAATAAATAAAATTAAAAGCCAATATCACATAAAAACCAACGATCGTTTCCCTTCAGAAAACAACTACTCCTTTGGCTAATACCGAAATAGGTATTGAATTATATCCGAAGGAAAGACAGCAGAGACAGAAATTAAATTTCAATACTCTACCTTTGATTTTGCTCACTAAGGAGAACATAATTGTTGGACCGGTTTCGTCCCTATTATGACTCTTCAGAGTCCTAATAAGTGAGTAGCTGTTTTCTGAAGGGAAACGGCCGTTGGTTTTTATGTGATATTGACTTTTAGCTTTATTTATTTTACGTCTTGATCACATTTGAGTTTGATTTATTTTCGTTTCTTAATAAATATAATATTAAGTACTTTTGGAACTATGTCAGTCTCACTGATTATATTAATTACATAATATTATTATTTTGATCGTACTACGTGTAAATCTTAGATATTTTGTTGAACAGTTTTTATCCAACATAAATACTTATAATTGTATTTTAATTAATCTTATGTAGGCGATTTTCAAATAATTAAATGCTACTTACTAAATGAGAACGTAATTCATGTGGGACGTCGTTTAAACAAGCTATTTTTAATGACTTAAAATGTCCACTGTTCACTGTGTTAAAATGTTAACTGCTATCAACAATGAAAATAAAATAAATTTTGAAACCAAAACAAAAAATTTGCTAAACTATTTTCTTAATAATTAAAATTTTTATACACTACAATATCTTTAAAGTAATTCAATTTATATTTCAGATATTACTACCAACAAAACAGACTTCACTGGGGAATTAGTAATTAGGCCAAGTCCTGTTCGACGTAATACATTTACGAAAATAGATGGAGAGTTTACAGAGGACACCACTAGTAAACGCGATTTTGTAGATTTTAGTTCAACTGTAGAAAGAACCTTAGTTACCACACATACTGATAACCTAAAAGTTGAGGGTAACATGACATTTGATACCTCCTCATCTGTGGAATATACTGAGAAAACACCAGTTACAAGCAGGCGTCGGAAAACATGGACTAAAGATGATGTTGATAAATTTTATTCGACCCAAAACACGGAAATCACCACAACAACTCAAGAAGAATTTAAAAATTACGACATAACAGATTTTAACAAAACTGTTATATTGCGTCAAGATAATTTAAGGTCAGAAGGGGTTTTTGAAGGCATTTCTAAATCAAGTGAGGATTATAAGCCAAAACAGGTTGAACGACAAACTATAACTAAACCTCAAGATAACCTCAAACCTGAAGGAGACTTCGAACGGCCTACTCCAACAAAAATTACACCAGCTGAACGCAGAACTCCAATTAAACCTGACGATAACTTACGACCTGAAGGAGATTTTGAACGTCCTGAAAAACCGAAATATAGACCTGCTGAGAGACCTCAACAAAAACGACCAGAAGACAATCTTCGACCTGAAGGAGATTTTGAGAGACCCACTCCAACAAAAGTTGGCCCAGGTGAACGCAGAACTCCTATTAGACATGATGATAACTTACGACCTGAAGGTGATTTTGAACGCCCAGAAAAACAAAAATATAGACCAGCTGAAAGAGCTCAACAAAAACGCCCAGAAGACAACCTTAGGCCTGAAGGAGACTTTGAAAGGCCTACTCCGACAAAAGTTGGTCCAAGTGAACGCAGAACTCCGATTAAACCTGATGATAATCTACGACCTGAAGGAGAGTTTGAACGTCCTGAAAAATCGAAATATAGACCTGCTGAGAGACCTCAGCAAAAACGACCAGAAGACAATCTTAGACCTGAAGGAGATTTTGAGAGACCCACTCCAACAAAAGTTGGCCCAGGTGAACGCAGAACTCCTATTAAACATGATGATAACTTACGACCTGAAGGTGATTTTGAACGCCCAGAAAAACAAAAATATAGACCAGCTGAAAGAGCTCAACAAAAACGCCCAGAAGACAACCTTAGGCCTGAAGGAGACTTTGAAAGGCCTACTCCGACAAAAGTTGGTCCAAGTGAACGCAGAACTCCGATTAAACCTGATGATAATCTACGACCTGAAGGAGATTTTGAACGTCCTGAAAAATCGAAATATAGACCTGCTGAGAGACCTCAGCAAAAACGACCAGAAGACAATCTTCGACCTGAAGGAGATTTTGAGAGACCCACTCCAACAAAAGTTGGCCCAGGTGAACGCAGAACTCCTATTAAACATGATGATAACTTACGACCTGAAGGTGATTTTGAACGCCCAGAAAAACAAAAATATAGACCAGCTGAAAGAGCTCAACAAAAACGGCCAGAAGACAACCTTAGGCCTGAAGGTGACTTTGAAAGGCCTACTCCGACAAAAGTTGGTCCAAGTGAACGCAGAACTCCGATTAAACCTGATGATAATCTACGACCTGAAGGAGATTTTGAACGTCCTGAAAAATCGAAATATAGACCTGCTGAGAGACCTCAGCAAAAACGACCAGAAGACAATCTTCGACCTGAAGGAGATTTTGAGAGACCCACTCCAACAAAAGTTGGCCCAGGTGAACGCAGAACTCCTATCAAACATGATGATAACTTACGACCTGAAGGTGATTTTGAACGCCCAGAAAAACAAAAATATAGACCAGCTGAAAGAGCTCAACAAAAACGCCCAGAAGACAACCTTAGGCCTGAAGGAGACTTTGAAAGGCCTACTCCGACAAAAGTTGGTCCTAGTGAACGCAGAACTCCAATTAAACATGATGATAATCTACGACCTGAAGGAGATTTTGAACGGCCTGAAAAACCAAAATATAGGCCGGCTGAACGACCCCAACAAAAACGTCCAGAAGACAATCTTCGACCTGAAGGTGACTTTGAGAGACCTACTCCTACAAAAGTTGCTCCAGCTGAACGCAGAACTCCAATTAAACATGACGATAATTTACGTCCTGAAGGTGATTTTGAACGTCCTGAAAAACCTGGATACATACCTGCAGAGAGACGCCAACAAAAACGTCCAGAAGATAATCTCCGACCTGAAGGTGACTTTGAAAGACCTACTCCTACAAAAGTTGCTCCAGCTGAACGTAGAACTCCTCTTAAACATGACGATAACTTACGACCCGAAGGAGATTTTGAACGTCCGGAGAGACCTGAGTACAGACCTGCAGAGAGACCAAAACAGAAACGTCCGGAAGATAATCTTCGACCTGAAGGAGACTTTGAGAGACCTACTCCGACAAAAGTTGGTCCGTGTGAACGTAGAACTCCTATTAAACATGACGATAATTTACGTCCAGAAGGTGATTTTGAACGTCCTGAAAGACCTGGATATATACCTGCAGAGAGACCTCAACAAAAACGTCCTGAAGACAATCTTCGACCCGAAGGACAGTTTGAAAGGCCTACTCCAACAAAAGTTGGTCCAGGTGAACGAAGAACTCCAATTAAACATGATGACAATTTACGACCTGAAGGAGATTTTGAACGTCCCGAGAAACCAAAATATAGACCTGCCGAAAGACCTCAACAAAAACGTCCAGAAGATAATCTTCGACCTGAAGGCGACTTTGAAAGACCTACTCCTACAAAAGTTGCTCCAGCTGAACGCAGAACTCCTATTAAACATGACGATAACTTACGTCCTGAAGGTGATTTTGAACGTCCAGAGAGGCCTGAATACATACCTGCAGAAAGACCGAAACAAAAACGTCCCGAAGATAATCTTCGACCCGAAGGAGACTTTGAAAGACCTACTCCGACAAAAGTTGGCCCATGTGAACGTAGAACTCCTATTAAACATGACGATAATTTACGCCCTGAAGGTGATTTTGATCGTCCAGAAAGACCTGGATATATACCTGCAGAAAGACCACAGCAAAAACGTCCTGAAGACAACCTTCGCCCTGAAGGAGACTTTGAAAGACCAACTCCAACAAAGGTTGCACCAGCTGAACGCAGAACTCCAATTAAACACGATGATAATCTACGACCTGAAGGAGATTTTGATCGTCCTGAAAAAACAAAATATATACCTGCTGAAAGACCTCAACAAAAACGGCCAGAAGACAATCTTCGACCTGAAGGTGACTTTGAAAGACCTACTCCTACAAAAGTTGCTCCAGCTGAACGCAGAACTCCTATTAAACATGACGATAACTTACGACCTGAAGGTGATTTTGAACGTCCTGAGAGACCTGGATACATACCTGCAGAGAGACCTCAACAAAAACGTCCCGAAGATAATCTTCGACCAGAAGGAGACTTTGAAAGACCTACTCCGACAAAAGTTGGCCCATGTGAACGCAGAACTCCTATTAAACATGACGATAATTTACGCCCTGAAGGTGATTTTGAACGTCCTGAAAGACCTGGATACATACCTGCAGAGAGACCAAAGCAAAAACGTCCGGAAGATAATCTTCGACCGGAAGGAGATTTTGAAAGACCTACTCCAACAAAAGTTGGTCCAGGTGAACGAAGAACTCCAATTAAACATGATGACAATCTACGACCTGAGGGAGATTTTGATCGTCCTGAAAGACCTGGATACATCCCTGCAGAGAGACCTCAACAAAAACGTCCCGAAGATAATCTTCGACCTGAAGGAGACTTTGAGAGACCTACTCCTACAAAAGTTGGCCCATGTGAACGTAGAACTCCTATTAAACATGACGATAACCTACGACCTGAAGGTGACTTTGACCGTCCTGAGAGACCTGGATACATACCTGCAGAGAGACCTCAACAAAAACGCCCCGAAGACAATCTTCGACCTGAAGGAGACTTTGAGAGACCTACTCCGACAAAAGTTGGCCCATGCGAACGTAGAACTCCTATTAAACATGGCGACAACCTACGACCTGAAGGTGATTTTGAACGTCCTGAGAGACCTGGATACATACCTGCAGAGAGACCTCAACAAAAACGTCCCGAAGACAATCTTCGACCTGAAGGAGACTTTGAGAGACCTACTCCGACAAAAGTTGGCCCATGTGAACGTAGAACTCCTATTAAACATGATGACAACTTACGCCCTGAAGGTGTTTTTGATCGTCCTGAAAGACCAGGTTACATACCTGCAGAAAGACCACAACAAAAACGTCCCGAAGATAATCTTCGACCCGAAGGAGACTTTGAAAGACCTTCTCCAACAAAAGTTGGCCCAGGTGAACGCAGAACCCCAATTAAACATGACGACAACTTACGACCTGAAGGTGAATTCGAACGTCCTGAGAGACCTGAGTATAGACCAGCTGAGAGACCCCATCAAAAACGCCCACAAGATAATCTTAGACCTGAAGGAGACTTTGAGAGACCTACTCCAAGTAAAGTAACACCGGCTGAACGCAGAACCCCTATTAAACATGACGATAACTTACGACCCGAAGGTGAATTTGAACGACCCGAAATTATAGAAGTGGCTCCTGCTGAATTACGAAGACCTATCAAACATGGTGATAATTTACGGCTTGAAGGTGATATGATCATTACAAAGAGAGATGACTACGGAATTAGTAAAGTTGACCGCACAAAAATGATTAAACATGAAGATAGTTTGAAAATTGAAGGAGAAAGTGACTTCTCACGTAGAAATGATTATTCTAATGTAACTATTATTGAACGAAATGAAATCAGAAAACACGAAGATAATTTGAAAATGGAAGGAGAGTGGGACATACGTCGCAGAGACGATTATAGTCAGATTACTAAAATAGACCGAACACAAGTAATTAAACATGAAGATAATTTAAGAATTGAAGGAGAATTTACAGATATGCGGTCTAGAGACGATTATAAGTTAGTTGTTGGAGAAAAATGTGAAGTTATTAAACATGAAGATAATTTAAAGATGACTGGTGAATTTGAACGTCCAAAACGACCAACATATGAGCCAACAGAAAGGCCAATTCAAAAGAGACCTCAAGATAATTTAAAACCGGAAGGAGAGTTTGATAGGCCTTCTGCGATTCACGTTGGTCCAGGAGAAAGGAGAAGTCCAATTAAACATGACGATAATCTTAAACCAGAAGGTAGCTTTGAACGACCTGAGAGACCTGAATATAGACCTGCAGAGATTCCTAAACAAAAGCGACCAGAAGACAATCTTCGACCAGAAGGGGACTTTGAGAGACCGACTCCTACAAAAGTTGCTCCTGCTGAACGCAGAACTCCAATTAAACATGAAGATAACTTACGTCCTGAAGGATATTTTGATCGTCCTGAAAGACCTGAGTACAGACCAGCAGAGAGGCCACAACAAAAACGTCCCGAAGACAATCTTCGCCCTGAAGGAGACTTTGAAAGACCTACTCCTACAAAAGTTTTAGCAGCTGAACGCAGAACTCCTATAAAACATTATGATAATCTACGGCCTGAAGGAGAGTTTGACCGTCCTGAAAAGTATAAGTATAGACCAGCGGAAATACCTCAACAGAAGCGTCCAGAAGATAATCTTCGACCTGAAGGAGATTTTGACAGACCTACACCTACAAAAACTGCTCCAGGTGAACGTAGAACTCCTATTAAACATGACGATAACCTACGCCCTGAAGGAGATTTTGATCGTCCTGAAAGACCTGGATACATACCTGCAGAGAGACCTCAACAAAAACGTCCAGAAGACAATCTTCGGCCTGAAGGAGACTTCGAAAGACCGACACCTACAAAAGCTGGTCCAGGTGAACGAAGAACTCCTATTAAACATGATGATAACCTACGACCTGAAGGCGATTTTGATCGCCGTAAAGAAACTCAGATTGTAACAGGCGAACGTAGAACACCTATTAAACATCCAGATAATTTGAGACCTGAAGGTGTATTCGAAAGGCCACAAGCACCTGAATATCAATCTATCGAGAGACCGCTGCTGAAAAAACCACAAGACAATTTAAAAATTACCGGAGAATTCCAAGACACTACCATGGCTAAATCTCAATATACTGTAGTAAGAGGAGAACGAGCAGAAATAAAGAAACAAAAAGATAATCTTAACATTGGTATTGGAAAAATGGAGTCAACCACTACCACACAGGACACTTTTGACAAAACAATAAAAATATCTCCGTCACGAAGGATAATAAATACACGCAATCATATGGAATCACATTTTGTACTTGGAAATGATACTTCTAAAATGCAAACTACCAATGAAAGTAACTATAAATCATATACTACTAAAGTTGATAGAAAAACGGTAAATAATATAACACATGTTGATAAACAGGCCACCACTATGAAAACATCTGAAATAAACAACATAATCAATCAAGTAAATAATATAAGCCAAATCGATAAACAAGCAACCACTGTGAAAACTTCTGAAATAAACAATATAATCAATCAAAAAGGTTCTACTGAAACGGTTCAAAAATTGCATAGTGACAATATTAAAACTCTTCAAAATGGATCTGCCTCTACTACCGTTCAAAAAACAATCACAACAAAAGGTTCGCAACAAGCCAATCAATTAGAACAAAGTGTTGTAAAGCAGAACATTGTTAATGAAGTTAAAAAATCTTCATCCTATTCTCATGTCAATCAGGAAGTTCAAAAATCTTCTGCGGTTAAGCAAGTATCTCACCATAAAAAAAGTACTCTTACTTCTGAAGAAATTAATAATCAAATTTTACACAGAAAAGGAATTCACACCTCGTCAGAAGCTCTACATGCTACAAGTTCATCTGCATTGGATATGCGAAAATCCGTTTGTAATATTCATGATCAGGGTAGAACTGTTACAAATACTGAAAGACATAGTTTAAGTTCTATGCATCGCTCAAATCAAGAATCAAATACTTCTAACAAACGTAACCAGCAACAAGTTTATCAAGTCATAGAAAGGCCCCAGAAAATAGTTAAAAAAGACAATTTATCAGTTGGTGGCCACTTTTACGGTCAATCAGAGTCTAAGTCTTATGGCGAATTTACTAAACAACAGAATATTCACAAATTCGAAAAAGTATCAAGAAGGTCCAATATATCAAACATAACATTAGGCGAGAGTAATACTCACATTGTTACATCTTATAAAAAAGAATTTACTCCGAGAAACATTGGGCCTTGTCCAGCAGTACTAGTGGATACTCCTCAAGGACCTTTCAAACATACCAGAGATACAAAGTCTCATAAATTTTATATGCCTGTAGTAAACAAATAAGATTTTCGCTTACTACATTCTCATAATACGCTTTTTAATTTTCGGTAAAGGTTTTTTTATCTGCGTTAATATATTATTTATTGTCATTATTAAAATATTAAATTATATTTCTCAACTTTATATGTTCGTTTTTATTCATTGTATGCATGCAAATTTGTAATTGTTATTAATAAATATTTTGGCAATTCTTGTGGTTTCAATAATTTTATATATTAAATATTTATTTTTAACTGATAAGGGCATTCATACATACAGGGTGTTCCATCTCAGACGAGCCACCCCGTATATTTCTTATCCCATAGCAATTGTAAAAATTTCCCGAAACACGTCGGATGATTTTCTTTGGGGGACATCTTTTGACGTATATTTGAGGTTTGAACGAGCAACCCCCTATGATCGGGCGCCTCAACCCCTCAAATTTGAATAGGGAAGAGGGGTTGAGTGATACTTCATTTTTAAGGTCTTGGAAGCCTCTGTACAACGGTGTATGAAAAAAATCACATTCTTAAAAAAAATTAATTGTTTTATCATGCTTACAATCAAAAAAATCAAAACTGCGTTTTTAAATCAAATGTTCAAATTGTCCTCCATTGACTTCCATACAATAATAAATTCTCTCGAACTAATAAATAAAAAAAAAATCAGAATATTTTCTTATCTTGACTTCATTTTTGGTTCTTAGAAGGTGTTTATCACGTTTCTTCGATCATTTCATGTATTAAAAATCAATCTGTTGAGTTACTACTTTGCTGATTTGCTTTCAATTTTAAAAATAAATTATGGTGTACACATTGCAAGAACGTGTTGAGCTGGTTAGCCTGTATTACCAAAATCAAAATGGTGCCCGAGCTGCTGCAAGGATATTTAACCGAAACAATCCTGAACGTAGCGTTCGCCATAAGTACGTAATGGAATTGATTTTAAAATTTGTTGAGACGGGTTCAGTAATGGATAAAAAAAGGGCACCCATTGGAATTGTGAATGATGAAGGAGCAGCTGTGGCGGTATTGGGCCATGTCCAACTTATGCCAAACACGCAATCTGTCCGACAACTTTCTGCAGTTTTCCGTATTGGCCAATCTAACGTTTTCAGAATTTTACATACACACAAGTTCCATCCGTACAAAATTAAATTAATTCATGATGATGATTTGGATCGAAGGCAAGAGTTTTGCGAAATTATGGCCGAGCGTATCAACAATAACCCAAATTTCTTGTACAACGTTTGCTTTTCTGACGAATGCACTTTTTCACTTAATGAAGAGGTTAACCGGCATAACTGTAGAATTTTGGGAGACCACCTAATTGGACCTCTGTTTATTCCTGGTAATTTAAATGGCGAAATTTATCTTGAAATGCTGGAAAATACGATTGATCCGTTAATAACAAAAAAATTAGAAAACGATCCTCTACTAATTAAACAACAATTGCATTTTCAACAAGACGGAGCTCCTCCTCACTACGCCGCACCAATTTGCCAATACCTCAATTTACAATATCCTGGTCGTTGGATTGGAAGAAGAGGTCCTATGGAGTTGCCTGCTCGCTCTCCTGACCTAAACCCTCTGGACTTCTTCTTGTGGGGACATTATAAGTCCAATATTTTTGTGACTCAGACTGAAAATTTGGACAAACTACGCCAACGAATTGTAAATAAGTGTCGTCAAATAACTCCAATTATGCTCGACCATGTTAGAGACGGTTTTCAGTCAAGATTGTCTTATTGTATGGAAGTAAATGGAGGACAATTTAAACATTTGATTTAAAAACGCAGTTTTGATTTTTAAGAATGTGATTTTTGCATACACCGTTTTAAAGAGGCTTCCAAGACCTTACAAATGAAGTATCACTCAATCCATCTTTCCTATTCAATTTTGAGGGGTTGAAGCGCCCCCTCATAGGGTGTTGCTCGTTTAAGCCTCAAATATACGTCAAAAGATGTCCCCCAAAGAAAATCAACCGACGTGTTTCGGGAAATTTTTCCAATTACTATGGGATAAGAAATATACGGGGTGGCTCGTCTGAGATGGAACACCCTGTATGTACACCCAGGTAGCACACTGACGTTACAGCGACGTCATTTATTGGTCATCCGTTACGTCATTTTTCACCAAACATGTGACGTCAAAATGGCATCAAGCTACGTTATTATGTCACGATACAGGCTCTATGGGGTTTATAGGAAATAATATTACAGATTGATAATAATAAACAAAACATAATACAAAAAAATCACTGAAACATAACAATTTGTATGCTCTAAAATACATAATATAAGGAATATCTTACCTAATAGCAACAACAAAATTAAGAGTATAAGAGGCATTAATTCTGATGCCTTGGTAGGATTCCCCACTCGACCATTCACTGTTGGGTTCTAATTAACAGTGCTGTTCCTAAAGTGGCGCTGGGTAACAGTAACATAGCCTACCAGGCGAAATAACCTTGGTAGTTGAAGACGATGACACACTAAAAAAAAAAAAAAGTATAAGATGCCACTTTTTTTTTCAACACACCGTTCACGCCATGTTCATGTTAACCTAACCTTACTTTTTGTTTTTTTCTCTTTACTTTCTCTTATTTGACCCTCACCCTATCAGCGGCCAGCCACCAAAATATAAAATTCCCAATGTTCTCTTGAAGGTTGCAAAACATTGTTTTTGTCGTTCTGGAAAAATAAAATAACTAACTTTGTTGGCACTTTATTTAAATTTAAAAATGTATGACCAAATAACGACGTATATATAACGTAAAATATTACGTGATATTGACGTCATTTTTATGAGACTAATTATTCGTCGCGGTGACGTTAGTGTTAACTGGACAGGATAGTTTATATCCACAATAGACCTGAAAAGGTGGGGAAGGCCGGGAGGCCACATAGCTCACAGTCCTAGTTAAATTTTATGAAACATCACCTCTCTTTTCTTAGAAATTAAAAATGCTCCATAGATTTTTAATCATATTATATTATATTTAAAATTCTAGAAGAACATACAATACACAACAGATACAAAAGGGTTAAAAAAATGTTTTTCTCTTTTAAATGTAAACAAGACATAACCTAGAAATAGATCTTTTTATTTGTAAAAACTAAAGGGCCAACGGTTTACTTTTTGAACCACAACAATTCTGCTATATTACATCAATACTATGGTCGATCTTGTTGCAATTTAAAATATTATTTCAAATTTATATTAGGTTACTTTCTTTTAATAATATCTTAGATTAAAGAGACCGAAGATGTATCATTGCACACAGCGCATGTTGTCTATGCCAACCTTAAGAAACCCACCAATAGAAAGCATTTTTTCCACGATTCCACCCGAATTGTTCCGACATTTCTATTCTACGCTCATCTCCGCGTAAGTGAATAATCATGGATCGCCGTTTTTTGAATTATTTGTTGTGTTATTAGCAATTTAAAATGTGCAGATCAAAATTTGACATTTCTTATAAATATAAAACATTATTGCTTTTCAACTATTAGGAAAAGAATAAATAAACTTAAAATATATTATTTAAGCTCTTCGGATTCTTCATATAAAAAATATTAGAAATTATAGATGTTGTTCGCCATTTTCGCGTTAGAAATTATCCTTTTGAAGAATAGTATAGTGACAAGGAATTAAGGTAGGGGAGACCGAGGAGGGTTGTAACAATTTTTACGTTAACTAGCATGTCTCAGTCAAAAATAGTTAGATCTTTATGAACCCATTAACTAAACATTTTTATTACTATATGAACCAAATATAAAAATAAGTAAAAGTAATGAGGGTCCATGAAAAATCGACAAAATTTTAAACAACTACCTGCGTTACAATTCTCCTAGCACTGAGGTAAGTTGAAACAGATGTCGAGGTAAGTTGTAACAGATGTGTATTAGATAATTACAAGAAATAAAATGTAATGTAATTTAAACGCTATTATTTGTGAATAAACGAAACTTTAATAATAAAAATATTCATAACAATCTAGTTCGATCAGCAATTGTGACAAATATATTGGAGTTGTACCCACTTCTCATTTTTGCTGTTGGCAAAATGCTTGAGACAACACAAGCAAAAATAATTATTTTTTGTATCATCGTCCTCTTCGCCGTCGGTTTCGTGTTTCTTCTTATTTAACTTTGGCTTCTTTCCTTTGTCATATTTCTTCTTTTCTGGGCTAAAAACATTCTTTTTCACGTTCTTTGCCTGTCTACTGGTCTAGATGTCATTCTTAATAGGTGTGTCAGTTAACACAGCAGATTTAATCTTGCGTCTTTTAGTCTGTCCTTTTTCTTGGTGGAGCTTTTGGCAATGGTCTAAAGGCTTCTGGCGAAAATACTTTGGGGGTAGTGACGAGTGGACTACGTGATTTGAATGTGAAGGCAACAGATTCTTCATTATTTGCGGGCTCATTGACAATAATCTTCAAAATAGATGGACTATTGCCAGATGTCGTGTTATGTTCTTCAATTGCAAAGTATTTATTCTCAGGTATTTCAAATGATACATTTGGAGTAGTGGCTGCTGCTTCTAATTTTTCCGTAGTATTCGTAGCAATTAAAGCTTGCTCTGGTACTGCATATTTATCTAGGCAGAAATTCATCTCCAAAAATATTTGTATTGACAGACCAAGTTCTTGTTGCAGCAAAACCAGCGCTGATATTCTTCACCGTGAATCGCCATATCAAACGCCGTTTTTGTTATCGACGGAATGTCATAGATGGACATAACTTTCCCAGCATTTGAACGCATCTAATTATAACAAGATGTAATAATGGCCTTCTTTAAAGGACCGAAAATAGCACGAGCCATTGGCTGCAGCTTGTGAGTACAGTTCGAGAGAAAGTTAGCAAAATGATACAATTTTCTATGAAAAACTCAATGTTCTTCAAAGCCATGTGCGACGAATGGTTATCAAGAAGTAGCAGAGTTCGGTGTTTTCTTTGTGGTCTTACATGAGTCTTGATAAAATGCTCCAGAAAAAAGTTGAAGTCATCGCAATACTGTGGAGAGATGTTTAGGCGTCTGCAAATGAAGGTTTCCTTGTTTTCCTTTGGGCTTTCGTACTGATTTAGAATCACTGACATTACCTATAATAA